TTTTCTTTTCTTTTTTTTTTTTCCCCCTAATGATTGTTCCATCTGTCTCGTTCCCCCAACCCATCCTGCCGTCGGCGACCGCTTCGCAGGCTACGGTGTCATTCAGCTTAGGTAGGAGACAGAGATAGAGGAACGGCTGGAGCTAAACTACATGATGAATAATATTTTACAATGAGTTTTCATGTCTTTTTTAAATAAGTTGTTACACTTATTTTTCTTTTACTAGCAATATGTATCTGATTATGAGCTCTACGATCGTAGATGTGAATTTCATGAATCTGATTTGCGTGTGGGGACTTGTTTTCAGTAATAGTATACGATCGTTGATTATTACATCAATTTGAATTTGAGCTGCACTGAGCTGGTCTGACTGACGGATAATGCTCTGAGGTCCCTTTCTGGGCTCCATTTCTTCTAGGGTTGTGAGTATCTAGTGCACCCGCTTCTTCCGGGGTTTGAATCTTATGCCGATCGTGCTATGCAGTGATTTACCCACCTTTACCTACGACTGTCACCCAAAATATGACTATACAACCGCCACTTCACCAATACAACAATCATATGTTTCCCAGGAAAACCCCTTTATTTTGAGCTGCTACTTATATCAACTTGCATCCTCCCACTTCAATCCGCGCTTCCTATTCTCCCGCTTCGTCCTGTCTAGACTCATGTAGTGTGTGTCATACTTGGTAAGAGCAGTGTGGATCTGCTGTGACAAACCTACGAAGTCCCTCCTGGTATGTCTCCTCGGCTTTTGTTTCTATCGACTTCCCTAATTCCGACGAATGTATACTGCCAGGTCGCCAAAGTGCTCATCATAATCAGGAAATTCGAATTCTTCATAGATGTTCCGTAGGCAAGTCATCACACGTGGAGAGGCAGGGTCGGCCCTGTACAACGATAAGTCTGCGCATGCTGAAACTTGAGAAGGGTGGTAACTCACGAGTGATCATCATCATCTTCATTCCTCAATTTGTCCCATATGAGGACGGCAGGTCGAGCTAGATCCAGAACAATCTGCCTTACGGGAATGTCTGGGGCGCATGAGAATACCACCGTGGAATCATCAATTTCAAGAAATCCGTCAGGGTCTTCCAAGATCTTGATTCCAGCGTCTTCAGCGGCGGTGATATCAACTATGTTGCACATCGGGTCTTGGGCAAAACACGGAATAGATTGCTGTGCTATATTTTGCATATTGCAAGATATATCACGCAGAGTCAATAGAAGGGCATGCTGGAAAGCTGATCGATCTTGCAGACTAGGGTAAACGGTTGCGAAAGACCCGAGCGCAAGCCCCACAATCCTGGATATAGAGATATCCTTTCGTGACATAAGTATTGCCCGAAGAGCTTGACACTGTGTGGTGTTCTCCCAGATACGCGAACTTCTTCGAAGAAGCTCGCTTGCATCAGGTACCGAAGCCACCGAAAGGTCTGAGTAAAGCACCTTGGTGTGAATATTCCGCAGAAAGCGATAATGACCGATCTGGATGTGATTGTAGGCCAGATTCTCATCCCTCAGATCGCAATCTTGAAGCAGTTCCTGCACAGATAAATATTCAATGCAGGGGTTTCGGCTTCACATTTTAGGGTTAGTGATTAAAGCACTCTTACTACATTGCAACACCGGGTGAATATGAGTCAGACAGAAGAAAGGAATCCAAACACAAACACTTACACGATTAACTCCATTCCTTGCTCTGGTGTCGGGAAAACCTGCCCTGTCATTACCGGAAACTCAACAATAACCTCATCCACTCCGGGCACACGGATAGTTTGAATGATCCCATCACGAGCATCCCGGAGTTGCACTTTGATACACTGGAGTAAATCCTTGGTGTGGAAGGGCCTGCCAGAGTCATATAACGATTGGATATGGGATATTATATCCTGGACGGGGGGTAGGGGCGATGGATCTGTACGCGTTGCGAGCCCCACCAGAGTCCGAAGATGCGTGACTGCTAGTTCCATGTTGTCTTTGCGAGTCAAGTATGATTTGCACTGCGAATATCCTCAGTGGGCAACGAAGGGATGTCAAAAGAGACAAGATAGCTCGGCTGCAAATAGGGATCATGCGGCAGTCCCCTGAGAATCTAAGGACAATACGACAGATGGCGATGATTTTATTCTCAGGTAGTAAATTATCCCTTCCGAAGCCCTGTGAGCTACCTTATGGCTTTAGTATAGTTTCACAGACAACACTGCCTTTTACCTATATCTTGGTCATGCCGCCAATGCTAAGGCACGCAGATGAAACGATATCGCCGGGACAACTTCCTCCTCGAACATCTACATCCAGGCGGGATTGTCCTTATTAGCTGTCATCGTCTCTTACCTGGAAGGAGGGCAGGTAGCCATAATAGAGAGAATTCTGAGATGACGCGAAGGCTTCCACGGTGATTGTACGCATCTAGCAAGGGAAGGTGAGGTTGACTATTGGGAGATTCCTTCCTACAAAGGAAGTGAAAAGTTTCAGGAAAGGTATGAATCATTGTTCGGATCCCTAGCATTGATAAGCACCCTATATTACGAGCAGGGATTCCATCAGGCTACGGAACTATCCTAGACATAGCAGCCTATGCAGCACATGCTGCATTTAGAGTACAATGAAAGACCATGGTACCAAGGCAAGATAGTAGCCTCATCACTGCCTGTTATTTTCTTTCAGTAAGTGCTTTCTTCCGGATAGTCGGACCCAAGTACTAATTTGACTGTGATACAGAATCTTCAATGGATAACAATACATCAATCAACCCCATTACCTCCATTTGCGGGATTTCACTTGACGCAGATGCATAGTGCTGAGGGCTTCCTGCGGGCAGGCACTTGACTAACTCGTTGGAGATGTTTGTAAGGTACGAATATAACTGTATCTTCCGCTGTTGTTCATTGACGGTTCATACTCATATGAGTACAGATGCCACTCTGTTCCATTGGGTACAAAGAAGGCAGTGTGCCGGTGAGATCTTGGTATGCTACTCTTATAGTCGCTCTTGTACTAAGATTTGGACACGTGAAAATAAGAAATCCTCGATGGTCTAACGGTCATGATTTCCGCTTGTCAATCCCTCTCGGGAACAAGCGCGGGAGACCTGGGTTCGACTCCCAGTCGGGGAGATTTCTTTTTTCGTTTTAGTTTTTCAATCTCTTTTTCACCCTTCTCGGGTTAAGGTTTTGATGTTGATGCATTGTTTGTTATAGAAGATATTTTCTCTGGGGTATTCGAGATGTTTCCATTGAAGGTGAAGACATGTCTGGTCTAAAGTTCTTATAGTATAATATGGGTTGGATGGTGGTAGAACCAAAGTTCTTCGTATCATGCATTATGTGTCATGTAGAGAATCACCATCTTATAGATATGTTTGAATATCCAGATGTAGGATAATTCTTACCGTCTCATAGAACTTCGGGGCTCCCTCTCTATACCAACATCTCTAGCGAAACACAAGGAAACAAATGCAAATATGGGACATATATCGTGATAACTGAACAATCATATTGATGAGACATCGTCACATCATGGCAGTCTGCATTTTCCATGGTTGTAGTTATAGTCAAACGCCGAAAGGATACCAATCAACCGAACAACTGTGGTGAGGACGACCAGAACATGAAATACCTGATGAGAGCAGCCGAATATGTCAAACCTCCCGGGCTTGATTGATTCCGGAATGCGCATCTAGATCAATCATTAGTATGGTATCTTGCTTCTGTGTCAGGGTACTAACAGTATAAAAAAGTGCACCTAGAATAAGAAGCCCTCCTTCGCCGAGGTAGTATGGCATGCCAGACTGCACCATCATTTTAGCAAAACCAAAGACGCTGATACCGTGAATCAGAGGCGCGAAGCCAGATAGTCCAGTGCCGACGAAAGTGCAGACACGGAAGGTGCGCCAACGGGGTCCTTGAAATTTGGGGTTCACGAGGATCATTATTGTAATGCAACTCAGTGAGATGATCTTCCAAAATCCATTAGCTTTGTGTACAAAGCACTGGAGTGATCGACCATACCATGCCCCAGTATAATCGTCTCAACAGAGGCTCACAGTAGAATACCATATAAATTCCCAAGACAAAATCTCCTAGGGTCAGGACGATAATACCAACAAAGTCGAGTCGTAACCATAGCTCAGAGACTTGGAGGGAGTGATTCATTAGTGTGTGATAGGTAGTTGACAGACCCAAGCATATAACAGCAGTCAGGAGGAAGAAGGCAAAAATTGCGTGGTCGGATAACGTGGCTTCGGGATATTTGACTTGAAGATACTGATAAAACATGCCTTCTGCTGCGAGGAAGAAGACGGCGGGAACAAGATGCGAATAGATGTTCACGGTTTCATTGTGCAGATACAGCCAACTGGCAAAGCATGCATGAGTGGAATTAGAGACGGGTCGATAGCCATGTCGAATAAACTCATTGTCTTGATACCATTCGGGGATTTCGTCATAAGAGACAAGGATGGGGGCACCATCATTGAAGAGAACTTTCTCGGGAGTTGCTGGTTCTTCTGCGAAGGCTCCCGGGGGAAGAGAAGGCTTCCGCTGGCGCGGGAGTGTTTCCGTTATCGATGGACTGTCCGCAAATGTGGCTTGCATATTGGATGTTGTGTCTTTTCAATTTGAGAGCAGAATGTACAAAGAGCTGAGAATGGTTGAGCGCGGACTGAGTGAAGATTGTACTGGATAGATAATTTCGGCGAGGAATTGAGCTGGGAAGACCCGGCCGACTGAGAGGGAATCAGGCCTGTCACCCCAGGCGCTGGGAGGAAGAGTTGGGGGGTGCTTCCCAGGAGGGGCTCATGCAGGATGAGGCCCACGAGCCTATCACAGGCGGACGTGCACGAGAACCGACAGGGGTTGATGCTTCTTCAGTGCCTGGGTTGGGCGGCACAGGGTCTTGCCATCACGACACTGGAATTGTCGGCCCTTGCTATCGTAGTCTGTTCTGTCATGACGAGCCTCTGTTGGCTCCACAAGCCTAGCGACGTTCGAACTCCAATCAGACTAGAGCTTCATGTTAGCATAGAACAGATACGTAGGGAAGCCGGCGACCATGCGATGGAACCGTACAAGCAGACACCACTGGATTTCATCGAGGACCTACTCCCAAGTTGGTCCTTGAATGTACAGCTTTTCATGAAGATGCCTGTCGCACCCTTCGAACGGCCATTGCCGCGTCTTGGCAACGATAGACTTCCTGACCTGAAGGGCTATCAGGAAGTAATTCTTTGTGTTGCCACCTTGTTTAATGCCTCGATTCATCTCATCGGCTGGAATTTCGGGTTCCCCACCAGGGCAGAGCTCATCCTCTGGCGGGTATGCAGCATGTTTCTGTTCGGAAACACGGTTGCATTTTGGGTCTTCGAAACGTCAGCTGCCTGATATTGGATAGGACGCTGGCAGCGCTTCTTCTGCAGAATCTTCTGGAAATCTAAGCTGGCAGATGTGGAGCAAGCGCGACTGACAAGGGAATCTGCCAAGGTCCCCAAAGAACTGCCACTGAAGGCCGAATTCTGGAGTATATTTCCCCCTTGATTGCACGTATGCTGCTGCAAGACTATACTTGATCGTCGAGGCTTTCGTTGGGGCTAAGAGATTTGGAAGTCAGCGTTTATCACACAGTGGATTGGGCGACATTTCTGCCTCACCTCTGAAGACATGGAACATGCTTTAGCAACAAATGCGTACCATCTGACTCCTAATTTCCGGCTGATCATCGGGGTATTTTCTTTTCATCTTCTATTTCCTTTTCTCTATATTTTCTTTATTTTGATTTCTGTTTCTTCTTCAGGTTGAGTTCTATCGATGACGAGTCATGTCAGTTTGACATGTTTTAGTAGAGATGCTGGTGACATCCAGCCGAATGAAGCTTCGAAACCGCGCGACCGCTGGCGGATAGCGCAGTGTACCTTCCTTACTAATCAGACTATTATCGTCCTCCTAGACTTCAGTAATCTCTCATTATCAGTATCATCCAATAAAACTCATACAAAAAGCAACATTATTGACTTCAGTGGCGTCAATAAAACCCAAGCTGACATCTTCGACTCGGGGGATGTATGAGGTGTAAAGCCGGCCCGACCGCAATTTTGTTCCGCGCGGCATCGCGCGGCATCAGAGGAACAGAGCACGACATGTTTGACCGAGATTCGTCTCGGTTATGCAGGTGCGGCCAAGGAGGGGGTGGTGACCTGCATGCAGGGATGGTCGGGAACTGGCGGCCTATCGCGGTTCAGGCTGAATATCAAATTAGCCGCTGCAAGAGCGGCATTGTTATCGTCGGCCCGAAAATTTCTATTCCAACCACGGAGTTGGTGGGATGCCAAGTGGCTTGAGAGCCGAGTAAGCAATTTTGCGAGTCATAAGGTGCAAATTGGGATGATTGGCTGTTTGGGGGGTTGTGAAAGGATATGTTGTGCGACCGTATGTGCAACGTGGTGCTGGTGCTGGTGACCATCTGGTGAGTCACTGGGATTGCCGGGCTCGTGGACCGGCAACACAAAAAGAAAATCATACTTTTCGAAGAGGAAAGGTTGATGTCACTGACAAAAATAGATTCTGAAATCTAATCTATGGGTCTTCTATACTCTAACTGGTATCCATTGCTGAGAAAGAACAAAAGCACGCTATAACTCCAATCCCAGACAAGTAAACAAAGGAAATAGTGACAGGCACACATTACTTCCGAACATCGTGGTCGTTGAAGCCCGCTTCAAGAACATGATAGGGGAAGGTACATCGAGATTAATGAGAGTGAAGGAGATAGTGATATGGACTTCACAACCAGAAGCCGGCGTCAGGTCAAGGCTCTCGACCGGATGAGAGCGCGCTAGTCTCGAACGGACTGGCGGGATGAATAGGACTGACAGGAGACTCTGACGGGCAGTCTGGGTGACGGTGAAGCACCATTGATTTGGGCGCGGGTACCCGAAATGGCGTGATTACCACAAGTAGAGATGGATATCATCATACTATGGGTAGTGAAGGTTGGTGGCGAAACCGATCAGCAGTAGCAGTGGGAGGTTTAAACCGAGAGACGAGCAGGCGAAGAGATGGACGGGGCTTCAAGTGACAACGGTAACTCTAGACTGTGCCAAATGCACGTTGTTCTTGCGAGGGAAGAGCTTCTCCAAGCACTTGCGACCCTTGTCGAGCAGACTCGATTTCTCGCTGGGTTTGGGTGACACCGTCACCCGTGGGGCTGCTGCGGCCTTGGAGCTGCTGCGGGACGATCGGCGCGACGGTGGCAGCGGGAGGACTTCGTGATCGAGGAGCTCCTCGTCGCTGTCATCATCCATGGCCATGCCCATGGAGCGGATGTGGACGCGAATGTCTCGCTTGACCATAGCCATGGACTTGGCGTGGATGTGGGCATGGCTGAGGCAGCGACGGAGATCAGGTTCCTTGGCACTGCTTTCCTGGTCATATTTCTCGCCGGAGAGCAGGCTGAGACGGAGATGCAATGAGGTTCTTTCCAACGGAGAGGGTCGTCTAGTACGAGGCGCGGGGGATGGTGATCTGGAAAAGCGGGAGGAGGAAGTGTAGGACATTGTATGGTCTAGCGTAGTTCTGTTATGCCTCTCTGCTGCGTGTGCTAATGGAGGGGCAGATGCGCAGTCCCGCACCCGAAGTGGGAGAGGGAAGGGCGAGAGTATCGAAAAGTCCGGAGAGGAAGAGGAAGCTTTGGCTTTGGCTTGTCTGGATGTCAAAAGAATTCTCTCCGAGCTGGTCGGGGAAGGTCTATATACATTTGGACAGGGTGGAGGATGAGCAAGCTTGATAACCGCCAGGTCATGGGACAGGAAAACCTGGTGGGCGAACGCTCTAGAACTCGGTCTGCCAAAGCCAAATCGGCGTCGCGGTGGATCGCCCAGTGGAGACCGACTGTTCCAGCCCGCAATTCAGGCCGACAAACACAGCCCAATCGCGGGTCCCTCCTGGCGAACCTGCTCTTTCTGCTGTTCCTGAGACGCGTCTGATGATGCAGACAACTTGGAGCCAATGGGCTGCGTGTGAACAATGCATCTGGACTCGAAACAATCACACCCAAATAGAATATTATACAATTTTGAAACAAAAATCGTAATTGTAAAAAGGGACCGCATCAGCCGTTGAATCATGGCGAAAGACCGCCGATGTTCCAGAAGCCCATCCAATCAGTCCGTGCACGGGCACGTGGGACTGATAAGCTCGCCGGCTTTTTCTTTTTGTTGGCTTTTCTTTTTCTATTTTAATTTTTGTGTCTGTTTTGTTTTTGTCCGTCTTTTTTCTATTCTCGGATACTTGGTGGAGAATTCTGTCACCGTCTCAGTTTCTCGACTCGCTTGTCACAGTCACACTCACAGTCACATTCAATCATTGATTTGATTTTATGGTTCCCTCCACTTTTCCCCCCAGTCTGGATTGTCGGAGATCACTGGTGACACATCCAATTCGTACCACCACAGCCTCCACGACGTGCTCTGTACATAGAAACATCGTACGTACCCTGGTGGCGATCCTTCCCACCACAACCGGTGCTATCCGCAGATCCCATCACGTCTGTGGCAAATGCGACCGCCGGCTTATCTTGCGTGATAAGACGCTAACGTGGGCGATCCTGTTGACCAGGAACTCCCGTCATAGGGCCCTGACAATCCTTGTCTCCTGTCTATCACGATCGATTTCATAGAGCGGTCGCAGACCTGTCGCTCACCCTTTGGGTCGCTTGTGACTGACTGACTAGCAATGTCAATGCTTCTGTGCTCTGCATATGCACTCCACTCTTTTACATCACATGAATGTCACCAATGAGGGATTTCCATCGAGGTTATCGCTGGACAGATATCCTGATTAAGGGGAAATGTCATCCAATTACGAGCTACCCACCATCTGCAATAGATGCTGTCGCGAGCAGAGGCCATAGCTCCAATGTTGGGCATTCATGACTTTCTTCAAAATTATAGCTATTCATGCAAGTTTCAGGCTAACACAACCATCATCAATTCATCTCCGTGCACCACCACTCGGTCTTCAATTTCTGGTTTCTACCCATCGCGGTCGTTTTGCGCGCCAACGCGCCCGGACCATGGGCGTAAAAGGGGCGAAAAAAGTCAGTCAGCGCAACAAAGCCAGGGCCAAGCAGCCGGAAAATCGAGGTGGCTGGGAGGGAAAGAGGGGTGCCAAAGGCAATAGTGCGCGAAAATTCCAAGAAATGTTTGTTTGGCATTTTCTGTTCTAGTCTTTAGCTCTCTTGCCCCTCTCTGTCCCTCTCACACACTCTCTCTCCTATTCTTCCGCGCCCCTCCCAGGAGATTAACCTCTAGGTTTTTGATCCCACAAAAATTTTCTCGAGGTACTAGTCTCACCGTCTTACCATTGGCTCGTACACTATCTCCTATCCGGTGTCCTGGAAATGCGCCACTGCTGCCGTGGATGCTTACCAGTCGGACCCCTCGGGTAGGAAAACTTTATCGGAGTTGCATACTGAATGAGGTGTATGTTTGCCATAACCACCCACCGCACAGGCACTTCACATTCATCAACACTCAAACGCTTACGGTCTATTGACTGGTCTAGAATTCACCTGTGATTGCTGATAAGCTCTGTCTGCAGCAGTGTCTAAAGAATATCCTGCGACGCTGATAGGCTTGTTGGCCCCACGTGCCTAGACCAACCGCCGCGGAAGAGGTCAATCTCCAGGCGTCCTGTCAATGAATTGGCATGGCTTCGGGATTTGACCATGTCGCACAAATGGGAAGATGACACGATCGGGGATTGACCGCCGAAATTAACGGTGTGGGCTCCGGCTCAGTCATATCGCGCAATATCTCTCAGGCCTTCGAGTGGGTTCCCTGAAGGATTGCCGGCTAGTCTTTGATAAAGGAAATTTTCGATCATCCCAAGCCTCTTAAAGGGGCTGATAGCCAACGAGCGCATTGGATCTCGGTTGTCATTGCACTTGTGCGTCGGCTTGCCGACATATGTCGCCTGATTATTGCGACACTGATGATATCCGTCAGGAAACCAATTACGGTGGTTTCCCTGCATGGATGCCAAAGTTCAATTGACTGTGGCGGGAATATTCCATGTGACCACCAATTTAACCCCCTCCAGCAGTGGAGTCTTTGGGAGTGTCTCGTCATCAAGGAGGGTAGCAAATTCAATAGACTGGCGGGTCTTGGAGATGATCCTCCCTAATATGTATGCATGTTCATGCTGCCATCCCTGTTTTCAAACCTGCCTGGGCATCACCCAGGCTTGCGGGTCTTTTTCCAGTCGCTGTCCTCGGCATTTAAATTTTGAACCCAATGGTGCAATCCGTCACTTGCGCGGCGTCTTTGTGAGTATAGACCTTCTGTCACCTAAATCCGGCTCTTTTGTGGCCGTGCGCGGATGGCGCCCATTATGTGGACTGTTCAGAGGTAGTATACATGGTATAGCTCGAGACAAATGAACGACATGCCCACTAAAATCCTACAGCTGACCTTTTTTCGTAGTCCACAGATAATGTTAAAAGAGCGATTTGTGACCAAAACGATATATCGCTGGCTACCAAGCAGCAGGGTTGACTCAAACGTTTTAACAGATAATGCAGACGGTATGACAGCTTTAAGGGAAATCCTCCGCCCCCCCCCCTGAAGAATACCATAGAGGATTAAGAATCTGTAGACGGCGCGAGTGCGATTGTGCGTCTCGTTTAATGGTTACTAGACTAGTCGCAGTCCCTGGTCCCGATCGGGCCTATAGTACTATGATCTAACTAAACGGCTCGGCAGCAGCCGCCCGACAAGCTAGCTACCAGTCTCGTCTCTCTCCGTCCCCACCTCTCATCTTCCCATTCTGCCTCCCTCTCGCCGAGGTTCATCACAACGGTCGCTTAATTTATGCTATGTGGGCCTTGGTCAAAGAATGTCATAATGAGTCAATGGATACCGTGTCTGAATTCTTGACTCCAGATCGTCCTTCGGAAACCGAAACCATCAAAATGCCCTACCGCTCATTTACAAGCAAGTGAGGTCATCTCTTGAGTTCCTCTGCACAGGGAAATGGAGATGACAAGCTTCGCGATGAAAACTTGAGATGGCTAGACAGCCAGCTGGTATTGATGGCTTATCTGTGCTAATAAGCTACGCTCTAGGTTATCACAGCAATGCGAAGCTCATCTAATAACGTAACACAGCAGAGTGACCAGTCCTACGGCTCACTTGGCAAGATCCGGCCACGTACAGAATCATGTGAGTGGACAAGGTTCACTTCAGCCAGATAACATAATGGCACATGGGAGAGACAAGCCCTTTACTTCAGGCTGACTGAGACCACTGTGTTGACTTGATCTTTCCAGTGGTCGTTCTTTGTGACGTTCAGCTTGCCCTGTAATCGAAACCAACTAGTCAAATATGGCGGTGAAATCACTCAAGTATTCCACATTTAGTCAGGCCGTGGTCACGCTTGCTGCTACTTCCGGTCGTCTGGAATTCATCATCCTTCTCATCGCAGCGCAAATATTACGCTGAACTTCTTATTCTAATCTATGGACCCTAGTGCCCTTGCAGATGATCGTCAATATCATCCATCAGTTTTTTTTATTTTTTTTTTTTACTTAATTTTAGTTTTATTTTTTTGTTTGTTTTTCGACTTCTGGAAAGACTTTTCGACCCGTCAAAGCTCACATTGCATGTCGCGGAACATTCAGATTGACTATACTTATGACCAGGGTGGTAGAGTGGCGATTACTCAAGGCGACAACTGGCTTTCTGCGGATGAAACTGAGTCAACATGATTCGATGCTTCGCCAGCTTTTCTGCGTCGGGTTGCAATTCGGCGCATTGATTGACTGTTAGACACCTTTGGAACCACGCGGAGTTAAGTTCAAACGACGCCGAGCTGCGAGCTCTTTCTGCGTTCAAGCCAGTAGGCAGTGACCCTGACACAGATGGAGATATTTTCCGGTTTATGACTATAGTGACCTCAAGCTGACATCTGTATGGCTTGATGGACTGGTATTGAGCCTTTCAGTGCCTATGGTCGGACAGAAATTTTACATATAGCCTTTGCATTGACCCAGTTCGGTCACAACACCTGACCAGATCATGCAGCGTTCGCATCGCGGCTTCGTCACTCTGCTTCATCAGCTGCAAAGCACCAGCCAATAAGAGGCTTCTTCGGCTGTTAAGCTTCAATGATCTCCATGCACCCTCTATTGTCCTCCCCAGATAAGCAGAAGAGAACAGGGAACGAACATGTCGATCTCCTCTTCCCTTCGACTATTGACAACAGCTTGGTCGGTTTTAGGACCAATAGGCGAATTCTGCTTCTATAGACCGCAATTCCTCTAGAGCTTGATTAGCAGTACAATATGGTGATGTCGACTCAGTCGAGCTCCACCGATGATATCGTTCTTTCGCTCCACAATTTTCTTCCCTCAAAGTGTTCGCCATGGCTGTTCCCTTGGATAGCGACGCTTCTTCAATAAGCCCCCTGTCCGTGGATCCCATAGCTGTACCGAATACCGCAGAAACAGAGAAACAGTCTGTCGATGAGGACTCTACTCCTCTACCCCCTCCTCCACCCAACGGAGGTATCTTCGCCTGGGTTCAGGTAGCCGGCTCTTTCTTCCTTTTTTTCAACTCCTGGTAGGTCTTCCTGGGTTATCCCTGTGCTGTCCTGCTTACTGATTCCGTGTACTACAGGGGCATAATCAATACATTCGGCGTGTACCAAAGCTACTATGAAACCAGCCTGCTGAGAGACTACTCTCCATCCTCCATCGCCTGGATCGGAACGGTTCAAAGTTTCCTCTTACTCTCATTGGGAATTATCGTCGGTCCGATCTTTGATAGAGGTTATATCAAGTTCTTGATAATAGCAGGCACGTTCCTGATTGTGTTCGGACTGATGATGACCTCGTTATCAAAGGAGTACTACCAATTCTTTCTAGCTCATGGCGTCGCCGTCGGCCTCGGTTCTAGCCTTCTCTTCATCCCTAGCGTTGCTATACCCGTCACGTACTTCACCTCCCGACGAGCCGTGGCCATGGGAATTGCCGCATCAGGGGGCAGCGTCGGTAAGCCTTATCCTCCTCAAACAATTCCATCGAACTATATTCACCTGGAATCCACATTCTAGGCGCTGTAGTTTTCCCGATCGTTTTTCACAAATTAATCGACCGCGTCGGGTTCGGTTGGACAACCCGTGTAATTGCTTTTATTGCCCTAGCCAGTCTCCTCTTCTCTATAGCGGTGATGAAATCACGCCTTCCGCTTCCTACACAAGCTCGTCAGCTCCTTGATCTCATGGCCTTTCGTGATATTCCTTTCCTTATCTACTGCCTCGCGCTCTTCTTCGACCTCGTGGGCCTCTATTTCCCCTACTTCTATCTCCCGACCTATTTCACTACCTACCTCCATGCAGGCGATAACATCTCCTTCTACGTCCTTTCCATTCTTAGTGCTTCTTCTTTCTTCGGTCGTATTGCGCCCAACATGCTCGCTGATCGTCTTGGATCGCTGAATGTCATGATTCTTGTGAGTCTTGTGGTCACTGTCCTCGCATTCGCATGGATGGGCATACACAGTAACGCTGGCGCCATCGCCTTTGCTGTTATCTATGGCTTCGCGTCCGGAACGGTTGTCGCGCTGATGCCTCCAGTTCTGGCGCTATTGTGTCCGGATATGGCTGTTGTGGGGACGTGGATGGGCATGTCTTTCGTGTTCGCGGGGCTTGGCATTCTCATTGGAAATCCTATTGCCGGGGCGTTGTTGGATCTGGAACATGCTGTTTTCTGGAAGGGGCAGCTTTTTGCGGCGGTTATGGTAGGAGCAGGGATGGCATGTTTCATGGCGCTGAGGTTGTGGAAATGGAAGGACGGGGCAGGCTGGAAGCTTTGATTGGGAGACTGTGATGGCTTCCTTTGTGCTTCAAACCAGAGCATCTGATAACAAGGTACGGAGTACCATATTGCACTCAACCGAGAAAGCGGGACATACAAATACATAACATCATCAAACCATGATAGATTCAGCCAGTCGTCTACTCCGACTTCAGGCTCTGGCGCAACTCCTCGCGCTGGACGGCTCCAAAGCGCAGGTTCCCGACATCAAAGATCTGCAATCCAGTTAGTGAGCTTCAATATCACCCCTTAACGCCAACAGCAATGCACTTACAGCATAAATACTCTTCAAAAAGGTGTCTCCCAAGATGTCCATGGTCATATCACCACGACTCTGGATTCCTCCATAGACATAGCCCGTCTTCGCTTCCGAAAACGCCAGGTCCTCCTTCTGCACCACGAACTGCTTTTCACCCACGGCAAACGACACAGTGGGTAGCTTATCCTGCGCCGTATCGGTCGGATAGATCCAGCCCTGTACTTCCTGATCATAATACGCGCCGTCAATTGCACTATAAATTGCCTCACACGTGTCATCGTCCACCAAGGCCAGCGTCGTACCGGTGTCAGCAATGGCGGTGTTACCCGACCGGTTAATGGTCTTTCCATTTACCGTCGCGGAGGTCGAGTTGAATAGCCAGAAGCCTTGACTGTTATCGACAGGGGTGTAGTAGACCTCTTCACCTGCCGTCTTCACTAAATCCTGGTCAATGAAGCCAAAGGTGTAAAACGACTCGTCATCAGTGTCCCGCCAGGTATCCAGCTTGGCCGTGAACAGCTCAGCCGACTTGGGAATGTCATCCTGCAGGATCATGTTCTCGACGGGCGTTTTCACGGACTTTGGCTGCACCGTGTTGATGTTGCTGAATGCTAGACCGAGCAATCCGTCCCCTTCGCCTTGGGCGAATGTGCTGGACATCTTCTCTGCCAGCTCAACGGCTTGGTTCTTGACGACTACGCCGCCAATGTTGACGTCGTCGGTGCCCACACTCCCTGATGCGGAGGATCCATCTCCGTAGGAGATTTGCCAGGATTCACCTTCCAAGGTCTTGAAAGTGCTCGATTTGGACGAGTCGAAGATCGCATGGGTCTTGTTCTCGGATAGAAGGGTTGAGGGGAGTTTGTTGGACCAGACCTACATCTGTCAGTGACGCTGGTTTCCATATTAGGTCTTTCATAATGGGGGTGTACCCAAAGATCAGCTGAACCAGTGTCAAAGTCCAACTTCAGGTTCTGCGCCGGGGTTCCGATTCCCACGGTCGCCAGATACATGGAGTCGTTCTGCACATCTTCGGCCGGAACCTCGCCAACCTCATCGCTGGTGGTACTCTTCTTCCGCACCAGCTGCCGGATATGGGCCCGACCCCCAATGGGCTTTTCAGTGTACGGACGACCGGTCTGTTGGATGGAGCTGCTGAGGGTGTAGGGACCAGGCTTGGTGGGATGGAAGCGGTACTTGCGCATCAAGTGTACGTAGGACTTGGTGCCTGAGCGCTTGTAGTTGAGATTGGGGATGAGCTTGATTTTGGTAGCCATGATGGAGGATAAATTGATCAAAGTGGAGGAGTTGAGAAGAATGGGTATGAGATGAAGAGAAAATGACGAGAGAGGAAGAGAGAAACCACCAGGCTTTTAAACCGAATTTCTAGCTAGCAGCTAAATACTAGCTGGCTAGTCAACTAGTAAGTGACCCAGAATTGAGACGTCATTCTCCCCCTCTCTTCCAGCATAACATTCATCATCCACTGACAATCTCGGCAGCCGACCCTTTCAGCTGGCCCTGAAATCTCGCCCCCAGTCGGGTGATGCAAATTGATTGACTGATTGGTTTCAGCTGATCGCGAGATCGGCGCCGATGACGCGATAAGCCCATGACTTATCTTATCGTGGAGGCCCAGAACCGGGACACTCGTCGCACTATTCAGGCCGATTTCTGTTAGAGCAGTTAGTGGCGTGGTGCGACGGGCCTGTCATCTTGTTCCGTTGGTCTTTCAAGCTCCGGTGATCGTCGAGCTTGGCGTCTCCTCCCCGAATTGCTTCAGGTCAGCCACTATCAATGGCATTGTATTATTGGTGGGATTGCTTATCATCATTACGCAGGTCTTCTTCATGATGTGATGTGATTTATCTTGTTAGTTTCGGCTATTATTCGTGTCGTGTGTGGATTGTCAGGTCGCCACTCTCTCTTCTCCCCCATCACTGAGATTCTGTCCCGTATTTTGTTCTCCTCCCGGGCGGCCCGGCCCTAACCGGGTGGCTCTGACTCCATCTTCTGCTTTTTTTATAGCATATCGTAGACATGTTGTGAGGAACAAAGAGACAGCTATACTACACGATTGAGCGATTTCTAGTCAGTCGGTACAGATACACCGAAACCGAGTCCTACAGCTGGTTTCGGCCTCCCCTATGCAGAGACGATATGCTGCAGAATCCGGAGTAGCGGGCCTCAGAAATGCCTCATGCCATCTCCTACTATAATGCATTCTTTATGAGACTGATCTAAATCAATGATGTCAACAAGACAGACAATGAGGGGATATAGCTGTGATATGGTTACGATGCAAAGATGCCTATGTAACTAGTCATAATTGCACACAAACCATGACTGGAATCACCTCATGAAGTTTACGTCCTATCTCTCCGGTGCGGTACGCAACGTACTAACTTTGCCACGTTCAAAAACGATGATACTTCATAAGGGCCTATAGATATATTGTCTACGCGATAATAGGAATCACTGCTATACCTCAGGATCTGCTCAGAAGAGGACAATCAATGGATTTAGAATGACCCGATCTATCCCAGAGTCATTATTTTTTAATCCTACATAGTACACATTTGAAGAGAGGGCAGAGGGGTAAGAACCTTAATAGTGTAAGAACCTTAATAGTAACCAGCTGACCGCTCATCGAAACGAACATGACATGTCTCATTATGTCTCCCTCTTCTAGTAATAATCCATGCAAGAGAGATCGCACATGGTGGAGTACCACGGGTCTTTTTTCGTGGGTGCTGGCAGCCTCCCTTTTCCTCTCTCTCTCTCTCTCTCTCTCTCTCTACCGAGGAAACCCCATGTACCAGTCATCACAATGTGCTGACTATACATTTCTTTCAAATCTTTCTCTTCAAAGCGGAAGAAGCATGCTATGAGTGGCTATGGATGAGAAGAAACATTTTAATAAACACTCTAGGATAATTTCGATTGCGTTCTCAATGCGGCCGGTTCGGTCCTCTGCCGTCAATGCTTCGATAGACGTAGTGGCTGCGAATCGGTATGATTTCATGGCTCTTCCTTGGAATAACATGCTAACTGTCTAGTCGCCCGCCGGAACCCTCGGAAACGCTCACGAATACACCGATTTACTCGATTGGTACGTGGAGACCTTCTTCGTTGAATTGGAAGAGGGGGAGGAAGACGAGGATATCGTGATTTTTAATAAGGATGTTCGCCGAGCGATTAATGAGGCATTCAAACATCTATCCTCTGCCTTTGTACAGACGGTAGCGGTTCATCGTCGTTACCACGGCTTGACGACCAACCAGAAATCGGTATGTAAGGATGGGCTCGATTTGGTGCCGATATACCAATGTTTTGCCAGCGTCGCGTTATTGATTATGAAGCGTTTTTGGCGCGCCGCCGTGAACTTCCGGGAGTTAACTACGAGAAGTTGTATTTGATGCCTGGCGATGCGGGATATGTTCTGTGGACCGGCGCAAAGCGGTCGTTCCGCACCGCCATTACTGAAGCGTTGAACTGGCAATTCGAGGGCGATAACCTCGATGACGTGCTCGATAACGTATTGGAGGGTTGGCCAGTCATTATTGGGGAGCTGTAGGGGCTTTTCGGTGTGGCTTCACTGGTTATTCGGCCTTAGAGCGCAGGGTTGTTGGATCTCAGTACGTATGGGCGCCGCCCGTCGCCTGATAACGGTTGCAAGTGATGTATTTATTAGCGTGCTGGGAGAGGCGGCCATGACCATAATTGAGAATGAGGAGAAGGTGAAGAAGGTGTCTCGTTGCGGTATCGTGACTACTGCTACTTTGGGTCAGGAGTTTATTGATCGCTGGGATAAGGTCGGATGTCATATCGAGACTCAGGTCGTTGATAATTGATTTGCTTGTGGCCTTATCCGATTGACAAACTCGCAATATTTTGTTATATAGCTACTTATGACTTGATCCACCTGTTTATAGAGATTTACTTGGTTGTTAATAGTACTAC